CCCGATACAACCCGACCCGATACAACCCTAACCCAAACGAGCCAGCCCTCGGGTTAAACGGCTAGCTCGCGGGTTGTGTATTTTTTTTTAAATTAAAAAAAATAAAACGTTTGGTTTGAGCGTTTTAACGCTGAAGACCAGAATCCTTTTACAGCATCAGGGCGCTAAAACGTTTGAGCTTTAACGTTTTAACGCTGAAGACCTGCATATTTCTGGCTTTGACGCGTTCTGGATGGACGTTTTAGCGCTCTAGACCAACATCTTTTGACTTCTTTCTGTAGCAGGGCGCTAAAACGTTCTGGATGAACGTTTTAGCGCTCAACACTTAGAATTTTTCTCTTCTTCAGAATCTTCTTCCTTCTCCTAGAGCCAACCCGCGAGCTGATTATCGAGTCAACCCTAACCCGGCTCGAGTTGGGCTGGGTTGGGTTTTCTGGCTCGTTTATTTTTTCGAGTCAACCCTAACCCGACCCGATTTTTACAGGTTGAATGCGGGATGGGCCGGGTCGAGCCGAGTTGACCCGTTTTGCCAACCCTAATCATTATTATGCATTCGTATAATCATATCATATTATAAAAACGGAATATGTTTACGAGATATCCTGCAACATATAAAAAAAATTGAGTGAAATTCATTAGGAAAGAGAGAGAGAGAAAAAAATTCATTCACTATTTATGTATTGTATGAAACAAAATATTTTCTATATAATAATAAGGTCCTTTTTTTTATGTTGTTACAAAATATTTTTTTACAACCGATTATAATTATATATTCTCGAAAATATATAGATATAATATTAAAGTTATTTTTTTTTCTCTTTAGAAGTTGTATTGTTAGGATGCTAAATGAATCAGGGTCTTTGACTCGGCTCATGAAGGCTTGGATTTATATGTTTAAAATTGGTTATTAAAATCAAGTTTGGACTTATATAAAAGATCATTTAATAAAACGGCATCAGACTCATATTCAAAAGTTAGACCTTAAAGTTTTTTAGGTTGGCCTAGTATACTAACTTTTTTTTGATTTTATATTTTTTATATTACTCATAATAGCATTCTCTCTCCTCAACTCATCTAACCTCAGTTTATTAATTAAATAGATTTTTTTTAATGATTTTGTTCTATATTATGCTATTTTGATATACATTGAATTTATGAATCTTTGTGAAATTATTAGTTCTGTTGATCATATATTCTGTTTGGATAAATTTTTATTGTCTTTTTTTTTAATAAACTAACCGGCTAAACCAGACTTTTATTTTTTTGTAAATAAGTCAGGCCACATACCGATAATTATATTCATAACAGATAACAAGTTAGGGTAGACTGATACATTTAAACACATACTTAATCTTTTAATATCAAAGATTGGCACGTTAATACCCCTATCTACTAACATAGAAAAAGAAAAAAAAAATTGCAGTTACAATTAAATATTTCTAAAAATACATAATTATAATCTATTGTTGTAAAAAATAATTACAGCAATATAAAAAGTACATTTCCCACAATAATAGTTAGGCCTAAATGGAATAAAAAAGAATAGAATATACTAACATAATGCATCAAAGGAATCTGTGTGGGAGACCCGATCATGAGTGAAGGCACCACAATCCACATCATCAACACGTTGGAATGATTCAGTCACCTGGTTGGAAAAGCCACCGTGACATGTAATACGAGGGAATCACGCCCATAATAGTTAAAGACAGCCTCACATGAAGCCATTCAAATCCTACTTTATCATCCACGTGGCAGGCCTTTATTGGTTAAGGGTCAAGGTAATCGAGCCCAAATCAAATCCAGCCGTCTTTTTTAGAGTGTCCACTTAGAGTGGGACTCTCCACCGCCCTTCAATTTTTCACCCAAATTTTCAGACCATAAACGATGCAATTGTAATTCAAACATCTTCCATACACAATGTAAATTTTATGTTTTCGGAGAGTAAGATATAAATATTACTAAAGGAATTTCTATAGATTACATCGATCAAATTTTAAAGTAAATAAAAATAACAAGGCACAGTTAAAACTGAAACGGGCAATAAGAGAAGGAGACACTTTAGCTTACGTTAAGAATTGGAATTAACATTATCTTGGTACTATAGATAAGCATTATCATAAAGATCCTGGGTATTTTTTTTTATAATTTCATAGCTAACATGATAGTGTCTTAGCCCAAAGGAACAATAAGACGTGTAAGGGTTCAAAAAGAAATACAAATAATAGAATTGAGCATATTAGGAGAATACATGAGTAATATTTTTTGTGTGGCAGAGGATGATTGGTCTGATGTGGCACATCAGACGGCTGGAACTGATCCCTTGTCACGAGCGTACTACCTGGAAAGCATGGTCACGTGGGGCCACGTGGAATTTTCATCTTTTGTAAAAGGGGGGGTTTCCAACGCAGTGCGCAATGGAAATGGTCCGATTCGGGGAACCAAAAGTTGTCCACGCAATGAACCTCTTTTTCTTTTGTTGTTTTTTCTTTCCTAATTTTTCTCAAGTGGGGTCCACGATTTCATTTTTGATTTTGGACGGTAATGATGTACATTGTTGACGGGTCCCACATCACGCACCGGCCTAGTTCACTTGTTGCCTTTCCATTGGCAATTTGTCCAAATTCCTAAAACGTCAATTTCAAATTTTGCTTAATGGAAAGCAAAAATTACTCTCACAATTGTACCTTAAATTTGATAAAGAGCTTAACTTGACCACCACAACAGGGGAAAAAAGCATCCCTTTTCTTTTCCTTTAACATTTTACGGGTGCCAAGCTTCCCTCACATTTTTTTATATGATAATATTAATCAAGGCCTGATCTTGTTGGTGTAGAATAATGCTAATTATCTACAGATATGAATTAATTGAGTACGGTTTCAATTAAAGTCTCCACGTAAGGCTTTTATGAGTGACATGCGGCTCATCTATGTTGTTCTTGTCTTTGAAAATTATTATATTTTAGGTTAATTTAGTTCTCATTATTTATTTATGAGCTGGCTAACTTTTAGGCATGCGGAAAGATGGGTGGACTCTAGAGTGTAGAGCACATATTTTAAGGTGTTACTATAAGAAAAAGGTAGTCCATTCCATTCCGCTAACACATTGAACCCACTCAAAAGGAAACACTTGCTGCTCGTACCGAACGGGGACTACACCATTTTTAGTTGTCACCCTGTGAATCTTTTGTAATTTGAGTAAATATTATTTTATTTTTTTAATAATATAAATGTTTTCAATCATAACTATATATATATAAAATAAAATTATTTCTATAGACGCTTTACGTACAACAATGATAAGATAAGTGTATGATTATGATTATTGATTCCTCACATTTAATGCTTTCATCATTTGTATAATTATGATTCTTCATATTGAATACTTTCATGTATATATATATGACAAGTATTTAACTGTTGCACGTACAGCAGCTACAGATAGGAGTGCTAAACGAACCAGGGGCCTTTGGCTAGGCTCATGAAGGCCTGATATTATATGTCTAAAATTAATATTTGACACCAGACTTGAACTTATATAAAAGCTCGTTTAATAAAAAAGCCTCAGGCTCCAATTCAAAAGCTCGGCCTCAGAGTCTCCCAAACATGCCTAGTATATTATTTATTTATTTTTATATTTTTTATACTATTTGTAATAACCATCTTTTTCTCCTCAATCCATTTCACCCTATTTTATTGGTTAAATGGGGTTTTTGAATGATTTTATTCTTTATTATTCTATTTGAATATATATTGAATTCATGAATATTTATGAAATTACTAGTGTTGTTGATTGTATATTCTATTTAGATAAATATTTGTAGTTTTTTTTTTAACATGCTAAATCAGGCTTTTATTTTTTGTAAATAAGTCAGGCTACAGGCCGATAATTATATGTATAATAGATAACAGGCTTGGTCAGACTGACAGATTTAAATACAAGCTTAGCCTTTTAAGATCAAAGTTCGGCTCAGCCTGTTAACACCCCTAGCTACAGAAATATAAATCATATATATATATATATATATATATATATATATATACATATATATATATATATATACGGAAAAAACTATTCTAATGTTGCATGAGATAAATTTTTCCTTCTACACACTCTTCGATAACTGTGCCACTTTTTTCTTTTCTTTTCTTTTTAATTTTTTAGGTGGGCGAGCCCACATGTTTATCTCTATGACATGAGATAACTTATCTCCCTTAACATTAAATTAATAAAACCCTATATATATATGGGGCAGGATATTCTTACACCGGTGTAAGAGTTAGAAGTCTTACACTCAATCTTGACCATTGATCCACTTGTATCCAATGGTTCAAGTTATTAAAAAGTTTGAGCCCATAGATATAAGTGGGATCAACGGATAAGATTAAGAGTGTAACTTACACTGGTGTAAAATGATCCTAACCCTATATATATATATATATATATATATATATATATATATATATATCTTGGGGTTTACATTTCTGCCGTTGTTGTACGTTCAACAATCAAATACTTGCCATATATATATGTGAAAGCATTAAATGCGAGGAATCATAATCATACAAAAGATGAAAGCATTAAATGTGGAGAATCATAATCATACAGCTGTCATTACTGGACGTAAAACGACTGCAGAAATAATTTTACCATATATCTTTTAACTCCAGTATAAGACTTCAAAATCTTACTTCCAATTTCAGTCGATAGAGGGATAAAAATTAATTGTTAAGACAAAAAGTAAAACTTTTAAATAAGAATAAAAAAAATCGTTATATATATATATATATATATATCTTGATATATTGCAGGGATAAATAAACAAAAGGAAAAAAACATTGACAACTCGACATGACATATTGATGTCTTTTTAATTTCTGTCAGTGACGCGGGCCATATTTTTGAAAAAGATTCTTCGAAGTGATCACACCCTACTCACACTCTGGAGAATTATTTATACTATTCATGATGACTTTAGGCCTCTATATAAACCTCTCTCAATTTGATCTACTCCTCACCTCACTCACAAGCACTCTTTCTCTCTTCCTTCCTTGCTCATTCATAAACCTCTCCAACCTATTTCTTTCAATTTTACTTGAATCTCTCTTTCCCCTCTCCAAATGGCCAGTGTTGAGGTATCTCTTTGTTATTGCCTCTGGTTTTGTACACTCCTTTATTAGTCCACGCGTAGTTTAATTAGTTCCTACATGCAAACGATGGAAATTAAAACTTTAGTAACAGAATAAAACTATTTCTTCACTTTCTTATTTTGTTTGTTGTGATTCATTATCGATCAACGATTCAGTTTTTTTTTTTTTCCTAACGTGCGAACGTGCGATCTAGAAAGCTATATATTGCATTTGGGATGGTAATACAAACAGAAGTCTCTTGCAATAACCATCAGTATATGTGGATGATCGATTCATCATATAATCACTTAATTTATATGATGCTCCTACTAACCATCAATATATACAAATCAAAACTTGCTTTATTTTTTTCCCTCCCGATTTTTGTTTCTTTCTTCTTTTTATTATTCTCTTTCGGTCAGATCATATATATAAACCAACATGTGTGAATGATCGGTTCATCATAAAATCACTTAATTTGTTCGAGATTTGAGGGGATCAACGTGTTTCATAGCCTTCTTCATAATTGATTGACTATGAAGCACGAACCATTTTCAAGTAGATCAATATCTTTTAAGAGTATTCATCGGTTTGTGGAATTGGATTGAGATCAACAGTTCTATGTGGACCTCGTTAAGTTTTTCTGTTTTTTGTTCTGGTTTTATAATCACACTAGCATCAAAAGTAAAGATCATTGATCAATATAATTAAGCTTTTTCTTTTGGTAATTATTAGTCTTTTGGATTTCTCCTTCTCCGTTAAAAGAAAAGGAGAATAGATGAATTCTATCACCATATTTTATTAGCACTTTACTTTAGAAGTTGTATTAATTTCATGATATTTAAGACAATTCTCTTTTATCTTATAACACATCATAATAGTTTTGATTATGTGATTTTTCATTTTGTGTATCTCTCCCATCAAGTCATTGGTTTCTCATTCTTACGAATATAATTACATTCGTTAAGCTCGGCACTACAAAACTTTGTTAAATGAGCATAGATCTTGCAGGTTGCACAGCAAGCACCGACACCAGCACAAGAAAATGAAACAACCGAGGTAATCAAGACCCAGGAAACAACCCAAGAACAACCAGCCACTGAAGCTCCTGCTGCTACAGAACAACCGATTGCTGAGGTTCCAGCACCGGAAGAACCAAAGGAAGAAACCACTGAAGAACCAAAAGAAACAGCAACAACAACAACTGAAGCCCCAGCTGCTCCAGAAACCCAAGTCCCAGTTGAAACTGAGACCAAAGAGGAAACAGAGGATACAGAGCCTGAGGCTGAGACGCCAGCACCAGAGGAAACAGAGGAAAAACCTGAAGAGGTGATCCATGAAGAAACAGCAGCGGAGCCTGAAGCAGTAACCACCAATGAAACAGAGTCAGCGCCACCAGCAACCACACAAGAGGAGAACAAAACAGCTGAGCCAGAAGAAGAAGCTTCAGTAGAAGTTCCTGTTGAGAAGACTGAAGCTTAGACGTATGAACATTGAACACAGTGTGAGTGGGGAAAAAAAGAAGAAGGTTTAAATGGTCTTTAGTGGATGTCAAGGTTGAAAAGCTTTTCTATTTTATTTTTCTTTTAGTTTATTTTTACTATTAATAATTTATTATTATGATGGTGAGTCTTTGGATATGGTTAAGAATATGGAGGGTATACCTACATGTAAGCAGGGCACTTGGCTCCTCCACATCAGCATACATGCCATGCGGTGGACATGAGATATTCCATGGTTTGTGTTTTGAGCTGATGAGATTGGTTGTTGGAGTTTGTGGATGATGGTTTCTTGGGTTACATGAGTTTGTCATGGTGTGTTATTGTGTTTCTCTAGGTTTGAATAAATGATATATTTACTTTATGTTCTTCCTTTTACAAAAAATAAAATAAAAAAAATATTTTTTATATTTGCTCTCTCCCACACAAAAACTTCTAATCTTGCAAAGTAATTAATCAATTATATCTCAAAAAAAAAAACATGAGTCTTATATATTTTAGGGTTTATTTTTCTACAATCAATGTTATCTACGTTGAGTCCAAAACGATGCCGTTTTGAGGTGGAAATTAAAGTATTTTTATAATTATAATTTATTTCAGAGTTATAATAGTCTTTTTCATTATAATTTTTCAACTCAAAACGATGTCATTTTAATAGGGAATGTAGATAACTTATCTACATTCACTCTAAAAACATTAAAACCTATATTTTATCATCTACAATATAAAAATATAAAAAAGGCTAATCTCTCTTAATCAATTTGTTGTATATTTCTTCTTGGACATGAATCAGTAGGCTTCCTAGGTATTAATTAGAACTATGTTACATTTCGGCTTCCAAGACGCCTGAGGTTCCAAAAATCATTGCAGGCAGTTGGAAGATAAACAATAAAAAATGAAGAATAAAAAAAAGGTTAATAAATGTTATGTGGAAATGGATTAGGAATTTAACATTATATTACTATACGGTATTGCATTTTTTTAAGGCGAAAAAATTAATATAATTACATTTTAAATAAAAAAAATTATAAATTTATGACTATTTTGAAAATATTTACACATTTATTGTACAATATCACACTTAAATTGGGCATCACATGTCACGCCCCATTTAGGCGTGACACCCACGTGGCTCACGCCTAAATGGGATGTGACATGTGCTGCCTAATTTGAGCGTGACACATGCAACCATGCTACCTTTCCAGGACGTGAATGGTGCAAAAAAGTCTATATAAACCTTTATCACTATATGCACTCTTCACAACCCTTCTCTACCATCAACGCTTACATTTACATACATAATTATTAGCTTAAATTTAGTCTTTTATTTTATTTGTTATTCCATTTTAAAATGAGTTCACATTCTAATTTTGTTCGTGTTGTGTTATATTACAATGTTAGAAAGGTGGAAGGCCAACGAGGTGTCATGTTTGAAAGTGAAAAAAGGTCGACATGTATCCAACACAACGCAATCATTGACGAACTACATCAGAGAATTCGTCAGAAGTTAAGTCTTCAAGGTAATCAATGTATCACTCAGATCACCACAAAGCTATGGCAATCTGATCAATACATTAGTTTGCAATTGGTTGATGATGAAGACGTCAAGATGATAATGGAAGAATTTTTCAACCAGTCAAGTATAGATTTTCTGGAGTTGTATGTGGACATTGCCGGAGTAGAAAATGTAGCCTTATCGGAGAGGTCAGTTACTTTAATGTCTCCCTGTCTTGCATCAACGTCTTCCGCTCATGCTTCTCCAGTTGCTAACATTTATGAGGGAGATGAAAATGATCCTACTTGGGTTATGCATGACGATCACGATCACGATGATGAAAATATCGCAATGGAAGAACGTCTTCTGGCCGAGGATGCTAGTGCTTCTAAAGGAGAAGAAGGTGGTGATAGGGGCGCGTCTCAAATCCCAGTATATCATGAACCAATGGAGTCTCAAATCCCGCAACTTAATGACATGGGCTCCGCACAATTAGCAGATCATCATCAAGGTATTTTACAGAATAACGTGTATGTGATTTAGGGTGTTTGAATAATGTATTAACAAGTTTTAATTCCTATATGCAGGTGACGATGTTGTTATTCCTTTTTGGGAAGGAATTCCACATTACACACATTTTGATTGGAGTTATCAGAACGAACAAGAATCATGCACTGATGGTTCGATTTTGAGATCAGGATCAATACAAGGTCTGTGGCAACTGGGTGACAAGTTATTTGTGAACCAAGAATTTGCAACAAAAAAGAGAGGTTCAAATGGCACTGAAGCACAACCTGATGAGGGAGCATCAAGATGCAATTGTAATTGAGAGCACGCCTGCAAAGTTAAGCATGAAATGTTGCCCGTATGATAAGGGTTGCCCGTGGCGCGTTAGGGCGATAAAACCAGTGTTTGGTGAAAATTGAAAGATTACCATATGGGGTGGAATCACAATTGTTTGAATGACCACATTTCTCAGGGTCATAGACAGCTCGATGCTGACGTCATTGCGGACCTCGTTCTAGGTACGTATTCTGTCTTAATGTGTATGGAACTTTGAAAAAGGTGTTACTACTTATATACATTATACTTAATATGTATATAACGTCTTCATTGCTAGGAATGATAAGGGAAGAACCATCAGTCTCAATTGCACTGGTTCAAGAAATGATCACCTCTAAATATGGATTCAAAGGTTCGTACAGAAAGACATGGTATGCGAAGCAGAAAGCAATTGCAATGATGTACGGTGATTGAGAGGAATCATATGTTTTTTTGCCCAGGTGGTGTGAATACATGCTTCGCTTTTCTCCAAGTTCTTTTTATCATATTCAACAAATGATTATTATGTGGAGCATGGAATAGTTCCTGGAAAAGTAGTGTTTCATCGTATCTTCTGGACATTTAAACAGTGTTGCGAGGCGTTCAAATTTGTCAAATCAGTCATACAGATTGATGGCACTCATTTATATGGAAAGTACAAAGGCAAGTTATTGGTGCTCACGGCTCAAGATGGAAATGAAGAATGTTTACCCATTGCATTTGCCATCGTTGAAGGTGAGACCTTGGAAGCCTGAGACTATTTTCTTGTTAATATTCGTGCTCATGTTACGCAAATGTCAAACATATACCTCATCTTCGATCGACATCGTAGCATAATACCTGCTGTGGAGAATAACCATAATTGGCAGCCACCAAATGCATATCACATGTTTTGTATTCGTCATATTGCAAGCAACTTCAATAAGAAGTTTCGAAATGACGGATTAAAGCGGACATTAAAGAATTTAGGTATTTTTGGCTCAACTATAATTATCCAGTTTTTGTGGCTTACATCTTTTGAAGCTGATAACATTAAGCTTCTGCGCAGGTTATACCCCATCAATGGTTGATTTTGAAAGAGATTTTTCTCGATTCTGTCAAGCTAGTCCTCAGGTTGTTGAGTGGATTGATGCCATCCCTAAGGAAAAGTGGACACATGCATACGATGTTGAAGGACGCAGGTACGGGCATATGACAACTAACTTGGCAGAATCTGTAAATAGGGTGTTGAAAGGGGAAAGAAATATGCCAATAACTTCTTTGGTTAAGCACACATACAGCAGATTGGTCCATTATTTTGTTACCAGGGGTAAAGCAGCTGCTTCGCAACTTCTATCTGCACATTGCCATTGCAAAAATGTTGTTGAACTACTCAAGCACAACGAACATCTAGCTACAGGCCACCATGTGCGTGCATATAACGTTGATCACACAGTTTTTGAGGTTGACGAGGGATGGGATCGTTCGTATTCTGTCAATTTTCTAGAGAGGTTTTGTCAATGTGGAAAGTTTAAGGCTTTCAAATATCCGTGTAGTCACGCCACTGCTGCTGCTTTAAGTGTTCGCCAGAATCCTTTCCACTACGTGGATGATGTATTCTTGAACACTAACTTGGTCGAGGCATACTCATACCCGTAGCAGCCAATTGATAATGAGGAAGTTATTCCACCAAATACAGGTCCAGTGCTTATTCCTGACTCCTCTATGCTACGTGCAAAAGGTTGTCTAAGGTCCACTTGAATCCGTAATGAGATGGATAAAGTTTAGACAAGTCAAAGCCGTATTAGGTGTGGTATTTGCAAGCAACGCGACCATAATCGCAGAGCATGTCCAAATCGCAAAGCAAACGATTGATTTCTTATGCTCAAACCTACCAGAATTATTAACGTTGTTTTTATTTTACTTGTTGTTATCTGTAGTGCGGGTATTTTTGTTGTATACTTTCTTGTCGTTATAAATAAGCATATCTTACACGTTCGCAACAGTTCCACATTACATAATTTTACTGAAAGTGTATAAATAAATACAGTCCACAAAATATATGCAGTCCAAATGATAGTCCACAGTCCATATAATAAGTAACTACATAACATAAAAAAATATGACAAGACTACGACTATGGTGGCCACGGTCGATGACGTGCATCGCGATATGGCTGTATATGTCTGTCCCATGCATCGTGTACACCTTGTGTCGTAGGAGGTAGTGCTGGCGGAGGAGTCTAATAATCATCCATCACCGCCTACATGAAATCATCTGCTATTGTACGCAAACTCATATCTGACGAGGGCCCGACCTGAGGTGAAGATGTGTGGCTAGATGTACTAGGCTGCATGTGGGGTGATGTTGTAGCGTGGGTGTGACATGGAGTGTCCTTAGTCTCCTCACTATCAAGGCTATCTGGGTCAAGGCCCAGCTCCGTGCACAATCCATGAACATGCTCCTGAGTCCAATGCGACATGTCTAGACTAAGACCCTGAGAGTATGGCATGTCCCTCCTGTCATGGCCATCGAACTGGCCTAAAACACAGGCTCCTGCGAATCCATGTACGGATGCTGCGACTCGGGCTGGCTAGGTCCTCCTGGATCCTAAGATGGCTGATGATAGATGGGTTGTGATCCATACGTAGTACCAATCACTGGAGGTCTGAACCATCCGTGAGTCTCAATCTGTGACCTGGTCCAACTATGGGAACAGGGACAGGTGGTACCTGATGTGCCTCTAGCAGGTGTAGTTTTCTAAGTTAAAATTGATAAGAAATGAGTCATAGAAGAGTAATTTAAATACATATTTACTTATTATATTGATTCTTTCTATGTCAATGATATTTCTCACATATTGGTTGTGTTTATACAGGTAAAAGAAGTGAAAATTACAAAATTATAAAAAACCTGTTGACGCGACTCTACACGGGTGTAGCACAGTACAAATTCCAGCAAAATGGCGCGGAATGGCGCCACACTGGCGCAAACCCACACCAATTTACGAACTGCACAACAGAGCTTTGCAAGTGGCGCCACAATGGCGCCAACTGGCGCCAGTTTCTTGAGAATGACATTTTTTTGGTAGTGGCATGGCGCCAACTAGCGTCAGTTTCCGAAGAATTTGGTCCGACTATTACAATTTGGCAGAAGTGCGGCGCCAAGTAGCGCCAACTGGCGCCGGTTTGCGAAAAATATTACGTCGTGTTGTCTGAGGGCATTTTTGGAAGAAGGAAAAGAGGCGTATAAATAGGATGCCTTTTACAGAATTAGGGATCGAATCCTATTCCGAAGACCAGAGACGACGGTTGTGCTCAGCGAGAGTTTTGAAGGATCTATTTGTTCTTCCATTCTTCCTCTTTTCATTTATCAAGTATGTTGAATATTGAATTTATAGCCATGATAATGGTTGGCTAAGTTCTTTTTATTGTAGTTAGGGTCACAAACCTTATGTGAACCCTTGTTACGACGGATTGGTTTACATTTACTCGTTTATATAAATTATCTTTATTTTTACCCTGTGCGTATTTTATATTTTCTTTATTAGAACTGATCAATCTAATAGTTGATGATAATTTGAAGGGTTAGAACTCTAGATAGGAATATTGGGGTTTTGACTTTGAAAGGGGGTAGGATAACAATTTATATGCATGCTAGGAATAGATGTATATTTAATTGCAGATGCTTAAATTATTGAGTTCATTGCTTAATGCCATGAGGAACATTGCAAGGAATTGGGGTTCCAATTGGAGTTAAAGGGTTAACCTTGCAAGGAATTGAGGGTTAACTATTAAATATTTTTAGATAATAATTTATCTGAGTAATTATATAAATGAGTATTGTAAATCAATCCAAAGTAAGAAGTGAGAATCATTCGGTGAGTGCACTCTAGCTACAACGCTTTCTCATATTTACAAAATCAATCTTTGCTCTTTTTCTCATAAATAAAAATTCAAAAATAAGTCTTTACCTTAGTTCTTATTATTACTCATATCCAAAACAATTTGTCACAATTATTTGAACTCTTCAGTCTTAAAAGGAATGATTATTTGATATACGATCACAATCCCTGTGGAGACGATACTTGACTTATCACTGTATTACTTGTGCGATCGGTATACTTGCCGGTGAGCATCAGTACCCGGTCCCGACGATGACCTAACCCGCGTCCCTCATGTCTAGTACGCAGAACATCCAGAGACAACTGCGGCTCAGGCTGTGTCTTGGTCGGGGGTGCCTCAAGTCCCGGCTCGTCAACACGAGAAAACTCCCTAAATATCCCAATAAATACGGCCAATCTCGTCGTGAATGTACTCCAAACCGTATCAGGGAAACTCCTCTGCAGTGGTAGCATGGTACAACATCTCTAGCCCATCAATCTGTATATCATAACATGTAAATAATTATTCATAGGCACGTAGTTAATATTGTAAAAAAAAAAAAAAATTAACTCACCATGCGTCCAATCTTCGCAGCCCTCCTCGATATCTATCTCTTTCATCTAGCTCTATACCACTCCATGTACTCATGGTTAGGTGACATCAGCCCAGGTAGTGGAGGGGGAGCATATGTTGCTCCCTGATATGCCATCTATGTATCCAATGACGAAGCTTACAAGCCCAGTTCTCATCTACTTTTCCGCGTAGCGTATGATCATAGAAGCCTTTCAACTTTCTAGAAACATCTGGGATGGGCTGATCCAGACCAAACTGACGCATACACATGTCCGGTTGGCTGGCCTCAACCGTGTGAAAGTAAATAAAGGGTGTGACAGCAAACCACAGAAACTACTGATGTGGAGTGACACCCAACCATACATAATCTATGTATGATTTCCAAACCACCTACATAAACAAATAGTCAATAATTACATAGTTAATAAAAAATACAACAACACTTATTAAATAATAATAAGTACATAAAACCAATCCTCATCTCTGCATAATGTATCCATGGTTGCCCGATAATGCACAACCTCATGCGGCTTCAACCACCTGAGAGTATTAAACCTGTAATTCAAAACATACATCGTTAAGCAACTATACAATTAGTAATTAAATAATAATAAATCAGACACGATTGATTTCAAATACCCGTACCGACATCCATAGTGTGTGTCAGGGTCAGGAGGAGGAGGAGGAAGCGAGGGAGTAATGGGTGGAAATCTAATCTATGCCCAAATCTGGAGAAGAACATTGCACCCACCCATGTCAGATCTACCGGCATCTATACACTCGCACATATTACTGAACAAGTGTACCAGAACCGCAGATCCCCAGCTATATCGACCAATGTCATCAAATCCTCCCCCAAGCAACGGGACTAGACGACAACCCATGTTGCTACCTCCAGACCTGTCGCATAGTAGCCAACACCCTAGCATACAGGAAATATGCGCCTTCGGGAAAAGATCTCTCGATCATGATCCCCAGCTGGATCACTCTACCTGGCCCACAACTGATAAAAGAATGAGATGCGTAGGTTGCAGGAGCCATGAAACTTACTGTCCCGAGACCTGGCACCGAAAACAGCCTCACAAACAGCAGGCCAATCCTCGAATGTAGATCCGGTAACGACTTTCCCGTCAGTAGGCGATCCCAGTATACCGGCCACATCCTGCAAGGTGATAGTCATCTCACCCTGTGTCATGTGAAAAGTATGTGTCTCTGGTCTCCACCTTTCGACCAAAGCACTAATCAATGCGGCATCAATCTAAAATACATTATACAATTATCATACGTTATGTCATTGTATTGAATAACTATATAAACTGTTACATAGTCAATTGCATACCTGAAAATGTCGCATGTGTGCAACATGTATAAATCCATCCTATGTAAGGTAATCGACGACCACATCTGGAATAGCGCTGGCAGGTGGCCCCCCTGTACTTTGCCACGTCGGGTCTTCAACTAACAAACATGTTTCGTATTCCACATCCGCTGTGAAATATGGGCACTTTGCGTCCTCTTCCGATGGACCTCCCACCTATATGGCCCAGGTATGATATACATACTAGGATCGGTGGGCTCTGGCTCATCATCGGATGCAGAATCCCCAAATGATGATGAATCAGCCATGATAAAAAACTATACAAAGTTGAGAATTTATTGTAACCGTTAATTTATAATAAAATTATGCATACACGTGTAATACAACATTGAAAATAATTTACAAAACAACTACTTACAACATGTAACAGCAAAATTTATTTAAAAATTAATTAAGCAAATTCCTATTTCACTATCAAAATTGTCAAGCATAAACCCTAGGTCATTAATTCATTCGTAAGTAATTAATTCCTACTTATTATCACATCATGTTCCTAACAATTTTATAATGAAGTAGATTAATTCATTATTAATTAATAATAATACATAGGTCACTACAATATTCCTAAGTCACTACAGCATTCATAACTCACTACAAAATTCGTAATTAAATAATAATAATACCTAGTCATTAATTAATACGTAATTAAATATGTAATAATATCTAGGTCACTACAAAATTCCTAAGTCACTACAGCATTCATAACTCACTACAAAATTCCTAAGTCACTATCACTATTTTTAAGTCACTAATATACGCTAAACCCTAACATATTCCTAATGTAACACTGTAATTTAAACGTATACATAGTAGGTGTTAAAAACTTAGTTTTGTTAGCAGAGCTTCGCTACGCAAATTTTCACGTAAGGTAGAGAGCACAATCGTCTTAGAGAGAGGTTAGAGTGAGAATGCAAAGTGGTAAAAAAGAAAAAATGGGGGATTATATAGGCTGCATGGGTCACGCCCCTTTTGGGCGTCAAATGTCACGCCTGGTTTGGACGTGACCCACCAGGCAGTGACGCTCTCTTTGGACGTGACATTGTGCAATAAATGCATTAATATTTTCAAAACAGCCATAAATTTGTAATTGTTTATCTAAAATATAATATATTAATTTTTTTTTGCCCTTTTTTTAATTGAGATAGATCAACCGTGATATAAACTGAAAATTGGATAGCCAACTATCTACTTTCACATTTGAAAGAAGCCATTATAATTTATGACCACTCCATTAGATTTCAGAAAGGAAAGAAGAGTTGCACTTGGACCCTTAACATCATCATCAGAAAACATTTCTCGGAAGAAGATTACGATATTAATGAAAAATTTATGATAAAGGATCATTGCTGGTTGCAACAGAATACTAATTTTCCATTCTTGCATATTTTCCGAATGATTTCTTTGAAAATATTCATACCCAAAAAATTAGAAAGAAAAAAACTGTAGTACTCACCATCAATTATAGCTAACAGTTGCAATGTATTTAAAAAAAAGCACTCATTTACGTCCTTATTATTCATAATGATTTTCTCGACGATAAAGGTTTCTGCAGCGACCTGAAAACAAAATCTACGAGAAAAAAGCAGCCTTTTTTTTTTTTCTGGAGGGTGAATGAGGATGCAGCAAATCGCACATCACAGAAAGATAAATTGTTAGAACTTAAGAAATGCTAATTCTTAATAGATCATGACAAAAGAGTTGCTCTTCGAGCATGATTGTCCAAACTTGTATGTCATGGCATGACGATACAATAGCTATTTACTAAGACCAAATCACAGAATTCTTAAATTTACTTAACCCCATATATAAACATTTGACAAAAGATCAATGACATTGCAACCCAGAATTGATTTGACAAAAGTGCCTTCTCACATCATTAATTCGAGAACAGATGGAATAATCCTATATATCCTATAATCTGTGCAAAGCTGAGTACCTATATTTCTATGTGCAGTCAAAACCACTTCTCCCCAAAATGCAGGTGTATTCACCAAGTACCAAAACTGCAACCAATGTGATCTTGAGTGATGACTCCAAGGCGATCTTGCATGACAGCCATAGATGAATAAGGGGGTAAACACAGCTGGTAAAAGCATGTGTGAGATGACGGCAGACGATCTTCAGGTTCCAGGGACCTGCAAATGTACAGACGGGAACCCAAACCATGGAAACCTTCAACTGGTAAATATTTCACAGATGTCCAAAAGAACAGAAGAACCTTCCTTTGTTCCGCTGACATTCTCCCAACAATCTGCAAAAAAATTAAAAAAACTAAAGCTGAGTAGGAACTCAGAGCAAATGTTGAAATAATGAGTTATTCGAATAACATTCAAGAAAGAATTATTTCAAAGGCTTCAACAACAACCTACTTTTAGCTAAAATGAGATCTTAAGCAAAAAAAAAAAAATTTAAAAAAAAAGATCGAACTTACTATACAGACTTATTGCATAGAAATTTGAAAATAAAAAGGGAAAAAATCCCTATGCACATAGCTCTCCGACTTTGAAAGGGTAGGAACAAGGGTTAATTGTAGACAATTTTATCTTGTTTCTGCAAAGAGGCTATTTCTGCAAAGTTGCAATCACATCGTTGCTCCAAGGATAGCTCTCTTAAAAATGTAAAAAAAAAAAAACAAAATTGCAAAAAATAGAAAAGAAATAAAAAAGAGGGAAGATAAATGTAAAGAGATTGTAATTCCATAAAACCAGTATCGTACACACCTCCCAAAACCAAGATATGTGACCATCAGTCTCTTTATAGCCATTATACTCAGTATGTGCCTTCCAATCTTCAACAGAAGTGGTATTTTCACTCCCATGCAGCATCCAGTCAAGATCTTCAAGATCTAAACTTTGAAAGAACTGCCGGAGCCTTGAGTTGGAAAGAATATCATCAAAACCCTTGGCAAAATGTGATACCTGCTCAGATATGGATGTTACAAAACGATTCTGTATAAGAAGATCAACATACTTCTCCCTGTTCTTACTATTCACTACAAGTCTTTTCCCACCAGGGCAAAGCTCAACCACTTTCCTGTATCCTAATTCCTCCACCTCTCTGACAAAGGTCAGTCCTAATGCATCAGAATCAATGAAATCAGCATCCATCTCCAATATTTGCTTGCAGCTGCTATACAAGTAAGGATCTGCATCCCGTATATCTTCTAAAGTAATATAGTTTCCAGCCAATTGCATGAAAAACGCACGATCAAAAACAATACCCACGTGCACCCTATTCATCAAAGCTAGTGCAATAATGCGACCAGAGAAGCTGAAGTACTCAAGGTGCAGAGGATGTACCTTAGATGCTGCAGATAAGTATACAAAGAATAAACTAAACTTGGATTGTGCAGAATCCCTTGAATAATATCTACTGATACAAGATATACAGCAAATAACATAAATACTAACACTGACCAAGCAACCATAATCCTAACGATAACAAATGGGAACTCAAGTTTGGTGACAAAATGCTAAATATTGGACAAGTTACACTGAATTGACTCCTCTAAACTGAGGGGTGCACTTTAGAGGGAAAAGTGCAGAGTTATAAAAGTTAATTGGAAAATCAACAGTTGAGATTGTGATAAAATACATGCACATGTATAACAAACAATTAAATTGTTAAAATCCACTCTTTTGATTTTCCCAAAAGGGTTATAACGCCACAGTTTTCCCTCTAAGGTGCACTCCTCACTTTAGAGGAGCCAAATCCATGTTACACAATGCAGAGTTGATCACTATTGATGAAAAAACAACAGATTAGTTTCTAAAAAATATAAGCACAAGTATAACAATTCATGGATATATGAAAAGCTAGACCTTTGTTGGATTTTTAATCTTCAGTAGTGTTAAAATTGAATATATAAATACATTTTTTTTCACTAATTCTGAAACTACACATTAATTCCTATATTATATAAAATTATAAATATGCTCCTATAAGTTAATTTACCCCTGCCAAAATAGTAACTCAATTAAAAATAAAACTGCATCATACAGTAACTCAAATATCATATTTGTATCTGTGCAGCATAGTCATCAGAGCCACACCACAAAATGTGCTGGTCCACACCCTGAGTTGATTGGTGGACTAGCTCGTCACCATTCCACATCTGACCAGGATAGCAGACATACTAAACTTGGTAAAGAACGAAAATACTAGCTTAAAGGAATCAACACAAAGGCAAGGTTGGAAGAAAAAGCCCACTGCTTCAATATAGTTGGCAAAAAAAAGGGTAAACCTACCCATTACTATCCTTAGGCCTTCTATGGGCATCCGTCTGAGCCACTTACAGTAGAAAGGAAATTCCCTTATTTCTCAGGTGGACCATTCAAGGTAATATAGCTATATTCACAATAGCAGGCCATATGAGACACTCTACTCTTAAAAATATTCACTATTTCATAACTAGATTAAAGAAAGAAACAAGAGACAAGTATCAAAATTTTATAAGCTTATGCCAAAAAACATAATAATAACAAAAGAGGAACGTATATACTTCAACAGTATACAAATTAACCCTCTTTTTAGCAAACACGTTACTTGAAAGACAAACTCTGAATTTTCAAATTTCTCTAAAATGTTCCCAGAGATAAATATGCTTTAAATAATTAAATGATCATAACTTAAATAAAATAAATGAATGAGAGACTAAATATGATCATAATCAGATAGCAGCTCTGCATGAGGAAGACAACATCATTATTGATGAGAATCATTTCTCTCACTTCATATGATTGATGGTTTGATAAGTATATATGATGGGGCCTTAAGCCCATTTAATAAAATCTATCAGAGGAAGAGGAAGGCCACTTGCTTGGGGAAGATAGCATCATGACAGTAAAGGGCGATGAAGAAGGGAAGTTAGTTATTGGAGAAGCCACATGGAGTGCTATGAATGGTGAAGGAGTAGTGGGGGGAAATGTGGGAAGGTGTTCCACGAATGGGGAGATGATATAAGGAAGTTATGCTCTAATACTCGGGGTGGAGAAAATTATTCTGAGTGAGTAGAGTAAAGCTGCTGGGCGTGGTGCTCAGTTGTTGGGTTCTTGAGACTGTCTCAAGAAGAAGGGTGTCATTATCAGTGGAAGACGGATAATCCAGCACCTCCAATAGTAGTCATGGAGTCTGTTATCTGTCCTTAGGAGTCTTGTATTACAGTTGCGTTATTAAACTACTGCTATCGTTGTGTTTATTGCATTGCTATTTTAGAATTGTCAGTCTCGCTTTCAGTCCGTATAAAGAATGAGGAGTCTGTTATTGCTCTGCTTTCCTGCGTTATTGTTGAGTCTATAGAAGGAGTTAGACTCCAATGGATTATTGAGTAATAAAAGTGTTTCTTTTGTTATTTGCTGCTGAATTTGTCTGGTACCATCAATATATATCCTAGATAAAAAAAAATAGTATTATGAAGCTATACAGATACTCTGAACTTAGGATGCAAAGATTTTGGCCTGCTAGAGTCTCCATGAACATTTACTTCTCAATTTGAAAGTCATTAGTGTAGTGTTAGGTTGCTGGCCAAACTGTTATTGAACTCCCGATGAAAATGACACTTGGGCTAGCAAACCAGTGGAAAAGAGTAAAAATAAGAGAAGGATTATATATTAACTGAGTCTATCCCTAAAACACATTAGTTATTGCCCAATAATAGCAGCTATCATAAACAGTCAGTAAATGGCCATAGCACATTACACGTGATTGTGATCAATCAATTGTGGATAATCTTCTGTTACATGGTTGTCATGTTTGATCAAATCTCAACTCTTCCCATGTTTGGTGCGTTGCATTACCCTGGGCAGCCAGGAAATGAAGTTCTATTCAGAGAGAAATAGAGGTTTTACATGATGGAGTAACTCTACAAGCCAGAGGAACCATTGCTATTGATACAGAAATAAATGACCTAACCTCAAAGTCTAAACTATTTGGGTGTTAACTCTACCACCAAGTTCATGGCCCTTAGCTGCAGTCAAGTTCTAACACTTTATTTCCATAATTTTTTCTGCTTTTAAAGTCAGATTTCATTCATGAAGTAGGCTCTGTTTTAGCTTTACCCTTTATTTTTCCCTCTAGCATTTTCTTTTACAGGGATCTAGCCTACTTTATAATTATTTGAACAAGGGTGTTACCCCCATGAAGACTAGTTCAACATATTTTACTACCCTAAAAAATATCATTTTGTAAACATTCTATAACTGTTTTCATATCTATATTTCTTTTGGAAAGGACACATGAACAATTATAAGTCATGGCCAAACATTTGCCATTTGACAATACTCCAAATGCATGGCAAGCAGCAGAGAAAAAAATGCATTTAGAATTCCAGATGAAACTCACCAGGATTAGGGAAAAATCTCCTACAGTCATTGGGGCATGCCACAAAAAGAGCATTTTGCGGATTAAATATTGCTTGACACACCAAAACAAACCACTCCCTCAGTACACCTGGTCCTGTAGCTTCCTCATTTTTGAACTCCATAAATAGACCAGCATGCAGGGACTCAGGCTTTGCTCCAGTTATGTACTCGAAAGATTCAGCTAATAACTTAGACCTGTCAATAAGCATCTCATGAAACTCTTCATAATCTTCTTTTACCTCAGGGAACAGCAACATCGCCAAATGCCTCCTAGATTCAAAATTGGTCACGCTTTTGTGCTCAAGAATCCACTGATGATCATCAGTTCTCTTTGCGTGCCGAATAATTAGTAGAGACAGCATGTTTCTTCTATGCATCAAAACTCTCCAAAATTTTTCTTCGGCACCGTCATAGAGCTTTGAGATTTGATGCAACTCCTTCAAGATGGAAAGATACTGATACCATCCCAAATAGACATTATCTCCTTCCCCTTGTTCCTTGTTAGCCAAGCATTCCTCCATGCCACGAAGGCACTCATCCATTTTGCTCAATAACTGAATATATATAAGACGAAGGTAATCAACCTCTTCTGCAAGCAAAGGGTCCTCCTGACAGCATTTTCCATCAGTCACAGAACCCTCCAAAGCTTGCTGCTCTCTGATTCCGGTCCTTAAAGGGATTAACAATGCCGTGAAATCCCGAACATCTGTAGAGAACGGCCCCGTGGAGGTGGGGCAACTTATACTCAAATCCAAATCCCTCAACAACGTATTTGCAAGCTCACGAACAAAGGGGCAAATATCTTGAAGCAAAATCGAGCTTTTAGGATTCCCAGAACCATAGGAAACACTACCATTCTCCAACAAAAACCCAAAAGCACTCCGGCAAGAGATATACAAAGGATCATCACAACCCACCACCCGTCGAAGCACTTTACATAACTCCAACACCACACGAGCACACGGACGATAAAACGATTTACTTAACTTAGTGTGACACCAACTCAAGAAATGCATGATGGAACAATTAGCACGGCCCTTGTTACCTGCATGGGGGGATACATAGAGCATCACAAGTATTGCGGGAGATTTAGAAGACAAGAAAGCTTCAAAATAACCAGGAACATTGAAGTTCTTGGTCATGAGAATCTTGATCACCTCCAGAGCATCGTGCACCACTTCGCCTCTGCACAAACGGCAAATTAGGGAAATCATATTGTCGATCACCTCCATTACTTTGGGGATCATCCCACTCCGCAAATTCCCAACCAATTGGAGATTCGCATCGTTCTGAATGCCACATTCATGCAGAGTCTGCTTCCACCGAAGCTGCTTCCCATTATATATCAACCGCTGCTCGCACACCGGAATCCCCGTCATCGTCTCGATGCGCTCGTGAATCGATTTCACGGTGTCTTGTGGGAAACCCTGCATCACCATGCTGTTACCCTTCGATATCATGCGAACAAAGAACTGCAACCGCGACGCCGCGGCGGAGGATGAATTGACGACGGCGTTGGCTTCAACGTCTTTCTTCATTCTGACGGAGACTAAGTCGAGAAAATCGGCGCAATCATCGTAATCGTCGAAGGCCGAAGTGAAGTCGTCGAATTTACGCTTCGCGGAGTGACGGTAGTAGTCTGTGGGGGCGACCCCGCCGCGCTGATCGTGATCGCAATCGACGGTGGGGGTTTCGATGATAGACATTCACGGGAACCCGCCGCCGCCGGTGAACAATGTGATCAAGGGCGGTTACGGTAATCAAGAGCAAAAGTTGTTAGAAACGGCACTCAGTGATGGTGGTGAGAGTGAGACAAATCTACCATAATTTTACCGTCCCCCAGGACTGTAATCTAACGCTGGTTTATCATTTATAAATAGGAAAAAAAAATATTTGTATTTATTTCCAAAACGACGTAGTTTTGATATTAAAATCTTAAAAAATAATAAATATAAAGATTATTATAACTTTAAAATAAATTAAAATTACAAAAACACCATAATTTCTGTTTCAAAACGACGTCGTATTGACTTACTGCAGATAAGATAATTTATCTGCAGTAACATGGCAATTATTTATTTAATTAATTATTCATTTATTTTATTGTTATATTGGGGAGGAATAAATTTGAGAAGGGTTGAGTTTGGTCATTCACGGTGTGCAAAGGGCACACGAAATGAAATGAAACTCCTATGTGGTAACTGCTAGCTGAGCTTGCTATGCTATGCTATCTGACGGTTCTGATCTTGCTGCCTTTATACCATTTCTACGAAAACGTCTAGTGGTGGGGTCCTCTGCCTTTTGGAAGCCATGGATAATTATTATTTGGTCAATCTCATGATAAAGATGAGCTCCTGTGAGAAGAAACGTCCGAGACAATGGCATAACAGAGGTAAGAAGACAAAAGCGATGTAGATTTAAAATAAGAGAGAGGGGTTATATTTATAATTTGTTTTATAAAAAAATATTATAATAAATTATATTTTCTTTTCAACTTTTATTATCTCTATTCTATCACTTTATATAAATATTAATTATTATATAATAATTAATATTATGATAATAATAATTAATATTATAAATAACGTAATTATTATTATTTTTAAAATTATCATTAAACTTATTTAATCAAATAATAATATTCACAGTAAATATTCTTAAACATGATTTTTGAAAGGGGAAATAGTATTCCTCTCCTACAGTGTCAAGTTTTTTTTTTTTTTGAAAAAAACAAAATCAATGAATCCTTGTGTTGCTGTGTCTACCGGATGTTTGGTAAAAAAAAAAAATTTATCAGGAAAATACAATAACTAAGAATATGGTGAAAAAATGAGTTTGATAGAAAAGTTAAAAAAAAAACTAATATATTACCCGTGCGATGCACGGAGAGAAAAAAAATTGATCGATCTGTTGAAAAAAAAAATCTAGAAGCGATTGTGTTCCCATACTCTAAAAAATATGTTTATTAGAGTGCGTCCAAGCCATTCATCCTTTCACATGTTTGATAGTAGGAGAGTTAAAAAAAAAATTATTTGTTAGGACAAAATATTACCAAAAAAATTGAGTTAAATTTTCTAAATTTATGTTTGGTTAAAGTTAAAATATTGATGAAAAATAGGATGAAATTACCAAACTAACCCTTGACTAAATACAAAAAAGACTCTCTCTCAAGTTTCTTTTGGCTAGTTTATTGATAAAAAATATTTGTCTCCATTGCTTTTTTCCTACATTTTGATTTGATGGAATAATGTAAATACAACTCTTTGAGTGGTATTCTGAAATGGTAAAAAATTTCAATTTTACACAAACTGATATTGTTATGTAAATTCAAATAATGAGCAAATTTTTTTGAAACCTTCTGCCAAACATCGTCAACTAAAAAACTCATTTCAACTTTTTCAATCATTCTAAAACAAACGTGCCAATACACTCCGGAGATTCATAAAGTCCTTTTTGAAATCCTGAAAAATTTAAAAACATTAAAAAAATTAAGCTATTTGATAATTAAATTTTTTGTTTTTGCTTAAACGACCATAATATGGTCATTCTAAAAATATCAAACTAATATCACTTTAAAATAATTTACCAATCTAATATTAGTTGGCATAAAAGCATGCACCTTCTGACATAAAAATTCGAAAACGTGAATGAATTGGTTCAGACCTTGACATCAAAACATGAATAAAATCTATGAGATAATAAATCATTAGAAAAAACTAAATAAGCTTCAGCTAATTTAAATTTAAACACTAAATGTTTAGTACCTTATAATCCAAGTGTCCGAAGGACAAAACCAGCACAGGAAAGCACTTCTTGCTTTCATCCGAAGGGCAAAAACCCCAGTGCCAAGTCTTTCGATAATCTAACCTTGTCAGTCTAGGAAGACTGCCATTTTGTTACGCCTGTCAAAAAAATTTACCAGACTGCTACGCCAACAGTAAATTTTGCCAAAATGACACGCGACATATTTCGTTACACTGTGTAGCGAAATATGTTTGCATATAATTCGCTACATAGTGTAGCGAAATATGCCACGTCAGGCTGTACAGTCAGAAAAAATAACACGTGTCAAGAAGGCAGAAATTCGCTACATTGTGTAGCGAATTATACTTGGATTCTGTCTGCTTGACACATATCATTTTTGCTGACTGTGCAGCTTGACATGGCATATTTCGCTACAATGTGTAGCGAATTATATGCAAACATATTTCGCTACACAGTATAGCGAAATATGTCGCGTGACATTTTGACAAAATTTACTGTTGACATGACAGTCTGGTAAAAATTTTTGACAGACGTGGCAAAATGGTCACTGTTTCATCAATCTATGAGAATAAATCCTCTTATGTGAAAAATATAATCATATTATTTGATCACAATCACTTATTGATGATGAGATAAAAGAAAAAAAATTATATAATTTTTAAATGAGTAATTGTGATCAAATAACATGATCACATTACCACTTTTTCACAAGAGAGAATCCACTCCCATCCATCTACTAATATTGATTCTGTAAATTCACATAGCAACAGACCTCAAAAGCAATTCATTCAAGTTTGACAAACACAAAGTATGGTTAGTCACTGGTACAACCAGATTAACACACATACATACAAAATCACAGTGACAGTGAAAATTTTCATTATTACATTACAACAAAACGACATAGCCACATAGGTCATCTTTTCTTTCTATTGCAGGTAAGAGAAGAGATGTTGCAGGACCCCAGTATTCAAAAATTGCAAGTACTCCAGTAAGAAAAGGAAAGGGTAACCCAGCAAGTAAAGAAGCAATGTACATCCGGCATTTGTTCTTCGATTATTGTTCACTTCAACTTCAATATTTGGAACTCGAGCCCTTTCTTTCACCTTCTTCGCTGTGAAACAAAAGGTGCAAAATCAAGGCAACACAAGGAAAGAGTCGTGGATCTTATCAATAAAAAAAAGGAGCTCTGTTCCAGATCAGTTCAACTCTTCCCCTCCCGTGAACCAAGGCCAATAATTTCATCAACACGGATAACTCATGAAGTTATCATCAATCCAGTAACAGCCAATCACATACCATTGGTTCTTCTAATGCTTTCTTACAAGGTCAGCCTGAATCCCTGGGACAGGAAGTCATCCCTGTAAAAATGTGAATCTCATAGAAGTAAGCTCAACAAGATCAATTATACATAAATTTGGAGTAATTTTATGGTGGGCAAATTTCTAAAGAATGATTTTCGCCATGAGATGCATATTATTCATGATTTTTATCAACACGGATAACTCAAGAAGTTATCATCAATCCAGTAACAGCCAGTCACATACCATTGGTTCTTCTTATGCTTTCTTACAAGGTCAATTTGAATCCCTGGGAAAGGAAGTCATCCCTGTAAAAATGTGAATCCCATAGAAGTAAGCTCAACAAGATCAATTATACGCAAATTTGGAGTAATTTTATGGTGGGCAAGTTTCTAAAGAATGATTTTCGGCATGAGATGCATATGATTGAGATGTTGTCGACAGAACAGTCTCAAAACTACGAAATCAGCTTGTCTAAATAATGGTTTGGGTGTGAGGATACCAAGGAAAAAAAGACAGATTCATTCATATTGAGATTTTTTCTCAATAGTCCGTTTGAATTGCTAAAAGATAAAGGACAGCAAAGCACAAAAGAATTATAGCTCCTTCGATTTTACTGAACAGTTCAAAATTTTGAATTTTTTAACACACTAAACCACATGACAAAATTTTGTCCACGGCGTAAAAACGAAAAAATAAATAAATAACCCTTGTTCCTCTTCATTTTTCCAGCTCTATTTCAGATGTACATGGTAAATTTTGTGTTTTTTATCCAGTACTCAAGCCTTTAAAATGGTGAATAACACCATGCTTAGTCTTGTGCATTAATAATTAAACAACAATCTGACTCAACCACTTGCGTTGTATTGAACTGTAGTATTCTGTGCTGTCTTTAAATGTTCATCACATGCATCCTAAATATTTAGGAAAAAAGTTTTGTCTAATAGTTTTATGTATCAACCATTGCTATTATTTTTCTGGTTAAAGGATGGTAGGGGACTTGAACTAGTCAAGGTCAACTCGAAACCAAGACACACAACTTATATTGTAACATACATAAATATATACACAAAATATGCGAATATATCATATAATAGGCCCAGAACGAATATGCCTTTAAAATACCTTCTCTTCCTTGTATTTTCGCATCCCAACTTGCGCTGCTTCCTACAATTCTCACCAAGTGAGGAAGGTGAGACAAGGCTCCCCATACAAATCATGCCTTCATTTAAATTGTGCACTCCCGGAATTCTAACACAAGTGACTTGTTCATCTTTCATGTTGTACCAAAAGAGCTTCTTTCGATCCTGTTCCAACAGAACCTTGCTTCCATCACTCGAGTAACCCAAAGGCCTCACAGATTTCAAAGATCTCATCTCGCGTGACTTCATCAACGAAAACACTTTACACCAGCTATCTTTCGATCCATATTTTTTCATCAACCAAACATCAACTCTCGTATCCTGATAATTCACAATCATGCACAGGCATCCTCCTAACAAAGCCACATCAATCTCGAAATTTCCTTCGTCTCCAATTTCAGGCAGGGGCACCACGAGGAAAACCTCGAGTCTGAGATCAAAAGCGACGATCAAATCGGGTTGATTCGGTTCGAGTTTTCGGGTCACGACCCAGTGCAAGGCATTACCAACGAAAACCCCCATGGTCCGCGCACAGCACAAGGCGTAAGGCATGCTGGGAAGGGTTTTCCACGAGTTGGTTCTCAAGCTGTAAAGCTTCACCTGCGATTCGAAGCTCCGATTGTGCCAATCGTAGAGAAACAAGATCCGAACGAGTTTGTAATCGCCGGCGAAGCTTTCGTGGCCGAAACCGTAAACGCGAACGGCTAATAGGCTGGCATCGGCGTCGGAGCGGCGCGTGGAAGGGAGGCAGGGAAGAATCCGGTACTTACGAAGGGAGGGGTTCCAAAACGCGATGTCGTCGGCGACATTGCAGATGCAGAGGAGGCCGTTGCAAGAACCGAGGAGTGTGATGCTGTTGCTGTAGCACATGAGAGGGTGGTTGAGCGGAACGGCGCCGTTTAAGTTGGGGAAATCGATTTGGTAAAGGTCGGAGTCGTTGCTGAGTATGAGGTTGGTGTGGATGGGGTTTTTGAGGTGGACGGAAATGAAACGGCGGTTGTCAATCAAGGAGCGCCATGACTTGCAAACGGAACGGAAACGGAGGAGGTAGATGACCGGCAACCGGGTGAGGATGTCGCTGATTACCTCATATGGAAGATCCGCCATAAGGATCGATAGCTAGGGTTTGGGTTTCCCCTTCACAGTGGACGAAACTAGTGGACGCGGTTTACTAGGTCTATGGCTTAGGCGATAATACATAGATGCACAAAAACTTGACTTTCACAAAAGTTAACACATACACACGTCACACGTTTGTTTGGGCTAGGAGTGATAAACGACCTTTCGGTCGAGTCGTGAAGGCTTGAGCTTACGTATCTAATATTAGTTGTTGAAATCAGGGCTTGGACTTGTATAAAAGCTCGTTTAGTAAAAAGGTCTCATGCTCCAATTCAAAAGCTCGGCTTTTGAGCCTCTCAGGCTCGTCTAGTATATTAATTTTTATTTTTATTTATATTTTTATACTATTTGTAATAGCTCTCTCTCTCCTCTCAATCCATTTCACCCTTATTTTATTAGTTAAACAAACTTTTTGAATGATTTTGTTCTATATTATGTTGTTTGGATATACATTGAATTTATGAATATTTATGGAATTACTAGTATTGTTGATTGTATATTTTGTTTGGATAAATTTTTGTTGTCTTATTTTTTCTAACATGCTAAATCAGGCTTTTATTTTTTGTAAATAAGGCAGGCCATAGGCCGATAATTATATTCGTAACAGGTAACAGACTTGGTAAGGCTAACACATTTAAACACAGGCTTAGCCTTTTAAGACCAAAGCTCGGCTCGGCCCGTTAACACCCCTAATTTGGGCTTCTCAAAAAAATAATTTTTATCTCTTCCTTATTTTAAAAGTGTTTTTTTACAAAAGTTAAAGTTATTTAATTTTTTAAAAAAATATTTAGTTTTTAAAAAAAAATATTTGACTTTTGCTTTTCTTAGAAGTTAAAATTCTTAGCTTCCGGAAAAAGTAAGTTTTTGACTTTTTTTGTGACTTCTGCTTTCTTAAAAAGCAAACATCCAAACGAACTAAAAACGAGAAATAATTTTTTTCTTGAAAAAAAACAACTTTTGAAAAAAAAAAGCTCATCCAAACAAGCCCTAAACTTTGTTAAAAAAATAAAAGAGTAAATAAATTTTGCTTCTAATACAGGTCGGGTCAAGTTTTTGTGCCGACTCGACCCAATTTGGTTTTTGTAGGTCAGGTATTTTGACCTGACTCGCTTTAATTTGAACAAAATCAGGTCTGATTTGTTTGAATTTTTTTGAACTAGTTCAGAATCGGGTCGGATCTGACCTGACTTGGTTTCTAAAGTGGGTCTGACTTGGTTTATGAAGTGGGTCAAATCTAACCTGACCTGTTTTTGACTTGGTTTCGTCACAAATTTCGTCGAAATTTTTACGTTGCAAACGTCAAAAATTTTGTCCCAAAATTATTTTTTCGTCGAAATACTTTTTGTCGAAAAGCGACGGAATTTTTTCTCTAATGAAATTTTTTACAAAAAAAAAAATTTCTATCGAAATTTATTTTCCGTCAAAAGTTTTGACGAAAATGATTTCCTCCATCAAATGTTTTAAACGAAAAAAGAATTCAGTCAAAAATTTTGATGGAATGTTTTTTGTTCAAAATTTCGATGGAAATGTGTTCTGACGAAAATTTCGATGGAAATGTGTTCTGAGGAAAATGTTTCATTTGAAATTTTTGACGAAATTTAGATTTTCTAAAGAATTTTTTACAGAATATTTTTTCCGTAAAAAATTTTTATCGAATAATTTTTTGTCAAAAATTTTTACGAATTTTTTTTACATAAATGTGTTCTGTTGAAAATATTTTTTATCAAAAAACTTGACGAAAATATTTAGTCGAAAATTTTCTATGGAATTGTGTTTCGCTAAAAATTTCGACGAAATTTTTTTTTGTCAAAAAGTTTAACGAAAATGTTTCGATCGAAAACTTTTGCCGAAATTTGAATTATGTAAAGAATTTTGATGAAATTTTTTTCAGTCAAAAAATTTCTATGAAAATGTCTTTCGTCGGAATTTTTGATGAATATGTTTTTTTGTGAAATATTTTGACGAAATTTAGATTTCATAAAAAAATTTGACAAAAAAAATTTTCTGCCAAATTTTTTTATAGTAATATTTTTAGTCACAAATTTTGATGAAAATATTTTTAGTCGAAAAATTTTGATAGAAATATTTTTCGTAAAAAGTTTTGACGTAATTGTTTTATGTTAAAACTTTTTTTTTTAATCTAATTGTGATTTTCTTTTTCTTTTTTTTTACATAATGGGTATGTGTCAAGTTTTGGGTCAATGGGTCATTATTAAAACGAGTCAGGTCTAAAACTGACCCAAATAAAAGTGGGTCAGTATTTAAACCAGTTCAAAAAAAATAGGTATTTATGGATCAGGTCAAGGTCAGATCAAGGGCAGAGCAAGTGAACCAATTTTTTTGCACACCATTACTCATATGTCTGTTTTTTTTTTTTTTTTTTTGTAAACACTCGTATGTCTGTTTTAGTCTTAGCAAATAAAAAAATTATCCGTGATTCTTAAGAAATTCAAAGTGGATCCATTTTAGTCCTTTTGACGGACTAATGTGGGTCTTTTTTGAATTTATGAGGGACCACGATTTCAATTAAATAGGCCCATTTTAAAGTTTTTAGGTACCATGAATAACATTTTTATTTGCTAGGGATTAAAGCGGGTATCGTGAAATTTACTGAAGAACAAAAAAAATATTTACTTAAAAGAAAATTATTCATAAAAGTATTTGGAAAAAAAAAAAAAAAGACAGTTTATGGTGATTTTAATATTAATTGAAAATTTGAGTAAGGGGAATGACTTAGAATTGGAAATTACTCTGGTATGTTATTTTACTTACCAATATGTCTTTGTCACTCCCCTAATAATCAACCATTATGTGTCTATACTCTATACTCATGGTTTGATAGCCACAAATTCGTATCGAGGAACGTTTACAATAACGAAAGTATGCCTCTCGTCCTGCTTCTTAACAAAACGTTGATGTACACTGTTAAATCCTTAGCCCCTAGAATAATGTATTCATAATCGGTTTGTGAAGAGGCGTGTAGAATATGTTATGTTCTATTCGAATTTTAAATAAATGTTTCTACATCATGTCTAATACCTAATACCGTGTCCAGTAGTGTTTATGTTATGTCATAGCCATGCTGAAATAATAGTAATAATAATTACACGTATGCTGTCAATGTGTCTTGTTGGACGCAAACATGGCACCGAAATTGGTGTATTAGTGCTTTATAGGAGAATAATTTAAGTGGTTGGGATCACTGTTAACTCAATGGTCCAATCAAAATCAAGATGAGAAAGAAGAAATGAAAAATAATTTTTTGACTAATTGTCACTTCCTAAATGGAAGGACCATATGGGTCTAGAGTCTCAAATAATTTTCTGCTTTATAACAGTGTTCATAAACCCGATCCAGCATGGTTGGGTCGATTCAGAAATTGGTAAATCGATTATATAACCGATCCAGGTGAAGTAGCAAATTGAAACCAGTGCAAATTTGTGCAACCCGGCTGATTTTGATAGAAATTGGTGACCTGAACGGTTAACCCGGTGACCTGACCCGATTCCTAAAACAAATTTCCAAAAAAAATAAAATAAAGGATTTTTTTTAAAATTCACAAATGGTTTGTTTTCTTTTGAAATATTTGAGTAATTTATTGCTTATTGACTTACATAACTTATGTATCTAGAAAATTAATATTATAATAGTTATGCACTATGCAAAGAATTTAGATTTAACTTATAGTTAGAGATGTCGTCTACTGAACATGAAGCATTAGTATCACAAGTATTATACATTTGTTTGATCCTTTGTAGGATAATAACGTGTATTTTATTATTTTTCGTTTTAAAATATTGAAATTGATATTATTTTTTTACAGATATTTAAGTATGTTTATAAAAAAATTTATGTAAATTATTAGATGGGTTTTATGTTTATCTTGTAACATAATACAATTTCACTTTTCTATACATACATTAAAGAGGTGGGGTCCACATATTTTTCTTTCTCTTTCATCATTCCACTTCCTCTCTCTCTTTTGTTGCGTGTGTTGGAAACAAAACTTAAGTTATGTAACATAACATTAATAAAACTCATTATAGATTTACATATACTTCTCAAATCTTACGATTGAACCAGTGATCGAGTACTTCAATAAGATCCATGACCATGTCAAGTTTAATAACATTGCTTTATATTATTTGAAGGAATTATTTTACTATTAAGATATTTCTAATGTCATTTCATTAAATTTTTATTTTACTTATTAATATAAAAAATAAGCAAATAATTAATATTATATTTATTTAAAAATAATAAATAAGATAAAATATAACTCATATAGGTAATAATAAAAAAAGGGTACAAAGACCTGTCTGGATGGGCTAAAAAATTTGTGTATTATTTAAAAAAGTTTTTTTGTTTTTTGAAGTCGAAACGATTATGCGTAGTGGACTGTACGTAACTAGGAGAAAACACCTTGCATCAGCAGAAAACAGATGCGTCATATTTGGGGCCGCTCAAGGCCCAATTTATTTGGGCCACGAGCTATCTATTTAAAAAAATATTCACATACGATTTACTGGGAGCCAAGTTATAACATGAACTGATGAAAGTATGAAACAAATTTTGTAAAATCGGAGAGGCAATATAAATCTAAATTTGTAAATATATCGTTTATTTTGTAAGTTTTTGTAAATATAAAAAAATAAAAATAAAAAATATTCGAGAGAACAAATATTTAAAATAAATAAACAGATATTTATAATTTATTCATATAAATTTCAAAAATTAATTTAAAATCAAAAAGAAAAAAATTAAAACAATAAATTATATATATATATATATATATATACAAATATATATATATATATATATATAATTCAAAATAAATTTTAAATTTTAAACGATAAAATTTAAGAATATCATATGTGAAAAAATAATAGATTATGAAATAAAGCTACACTCAATATAGTATATTCTATGTTGAGATATATAAAACTATTAATGTAGCCTCACCCAATAGCTTAAGCTTTTGGGTTGAATTGGTTCTTTACATGATATCAGAACATCGGGTTCAATCCTTATCGCCTCCTACTTTCTTTCTAGTGAAATTTCTTTCTTCGCACAGGTAGGTGAGCCTGTGCATTGTCCACCCCTCTCGTGTGAGGGGACGTGTTGAGATATATAAAATCATTAATGTAATCTCACTCAATAACTTAAGCTTTTGGGTTAAATTGGTTATTTACATTCTATATAAAGACGGATTGCTTCAAAATATCCAATACTATATATAATAAATATCTGTAAAATCTTACCCATAAAAATTTGAAATTTGAT